GTTCTAGTAATAGTTTTAGTATCTTCCTAAACTACCCCCTATGGTAGCTTACTAGTAATGTATGAACATGTTTGTATACCCTTGCTTCCCAAAGATATGGAACTGAAAGAAAGAACTTTTATGACTATGTATGTATACATGATATATAACTAATATTTAAACGACCTTCGGACGGATAACCAATGCCCTAAAGCCACATCCAAACAAGGAAAAGGAATTAAAGCGAGCTAGCCTTCCTAAGTCCTTTAAACATTACTTATATAACTATACATATATAGGCATGCATTTGACAATATATATAAGTATGAAAGAGTTTAAGTAAAAGCATTTGACATGAAAAGGAGTTTGTAAAACAGTTTGAAGTAAAACAGTTTGGTAACACAGTTTGAAAAGTAAGAATTTCACTTGTTGATAGTTATTAATCACATGTGATTGATATAATAACTATAGTAGTTCAACTTGTATCCCCCCATAAAAGCATTTTAAAAACATTTAAAAGGTTAATTAAGGGGTATGAACTCACCTGTAGTGAGTGGTTTGGATGAACTGAAGAAATAGGATTGTTAGGTGTCAAGTGAAGACTTGTACACACTCAATGATCCTAGTTAACATATAATAACACATATATGTATCCAATTAGTCTTTAAACAACTAATTAACAAAGTTACGACATCCTAGGACATGTTAAACACCTTATATAGGTGTTATAAGTGCTAAGGATTGCATCTTAGTGTTGTAGGACATTGCTATTGAGTTTAGGGTTCAAGGGAACCCCTTACTTGAGTTTACGGTTTTGTGACCTTAACTCATTGAGTATACGGTCGTAAACCCATGAGTTTACGGCCGTAAACTCATGTCCTTTTGACCATTTGGTGTTTTGAAGGTTTATAAGTCCCTAGGAGCATTTCCACTTGAAGGTTAAGCCTTTGGAAGAGGTTAGGGCACCATTTCACTCCTTTGAGGAGTTTACGGTCCCTAGACCATTTGTCCTTGGGTTTACGACCGTAAACCTTGATGGTTTATGGTATTTTGATGTTTTCAAGTCCTAAACACATTAAGGAATGAGTCTAGACTAGTTTCCAAAGCTGAGGAAGGGACTAGGGCCACTTTGGCCCCTTAATTAGGGTTTACGGTCCAAGGTGTTCTTGGACCGTAAACACCTTTGATCTTGGGTTTCAATGGTGTTTTCTTGTTGTAAAGAAGTGTATAAAGCCTTAACATACTCTAGGATAGAAGTACTTACAAGATAAAGGCTTGAAATGAGCCAAAAGTCCAAGAAACTAGTGTGTATTCTTGGTGTTCTTGGTGAAACTTGAAGATTGAACCTTTTGGAAAGATTTCATGGATAGAAGTGTGTTAAATCACTAGATTAAGTGATGTACTAACTTAAAAGGGTTAGAAACACTTACTAGGTTGAAGATCTTGAGAAACCTTTGGATGATACTTGAGAGAAAAGCTAGTTTGGATCTTGAGTTTTTGAAAAAGAGTAAATAATGACTAAGTGTCACTTATATACCCCCTCCCTTAGGGTTTACGACCGTAAACTCCTTGTTTAGGCCGTAAACTCTAAACTTTTGATGTGTCGGGACTTTATTGTTGCACAATAAACCCTAGGGCATCTTCTCTCCTGATATCTCCTAAAGTGTTAATCCTAAAATACTCAAACTTATTCCAAAAAGTCTGAAAATTAGTAGTAACTGTTCTGACTTCTATTGAATTGACATGTTGTACATAATAGAAATTTTGGGTTGTCACACTAACCCAGCAAGGGACCATAAACTCAACTTTTCAAGCCTTAAAAGGTTATAGAAAACCCTAAATCATAGATCTTAACCCAAAACAGAAAGGAAGTTCGATTTGATACCTCAATAGTGTAGATCTGAACTTGAAAACCCTGGATCCACAGCTCCCTTGACATCCTCTTGTTGGAAACCACTTCTCCTTTGCTAAAACACACAAGAAATGGTGAATTAGCCTTCCTCTTGCACCACAAGCTTTCTCTCTTCCCTCTAGGGTTTCTCAGGGGTGCATTGGCTGCAAATGGAGGCTATAAAGGCCTTTAAATAGGGCACAAACCCCGAGAATTAGGGTTTCAATTTACAGCGCGGACTCGCCGAGTCCACGCATCGACTCGTCAAGTCCTTCATTAAATCAGACAAGAAATGCGCGATCCTACTCGGCGAGTCTGAGCGCCTACTCGCCGAGTCCCTCCCTAAAACTCAATATAAATACTTAAAATAAGATACCTGGGAATCCGGATGTTACAAATAGCCCATTGCTTGCCCAAATTTGGAGGAAAAAATGACCACCACCATTAGATCTGCACAAACACATAAACACACAGTTGTTTTAGATTAAAAATTGGATTTGCACATGATATAGAGCCTATTTTTTAATCTTGCAGTTAATCTAATACCATTAAAATTTTAGATTTGACTGCAATTTCACCAAGGATTGTAACACTTACTTTGTATCCACTTATCACTGATGTGGGGTGAATCTTGTTTTTAACAAGATCATTTGCTCTCTAAAATGTTATCAAAACAATAGATTAATAAGCATTTTCCATCAAGATTCTAATACATTTGCCAAAACAAAGATGTATGAACTAGGGTACAAGACCTTCGGTAACTATATATTTGTGCAATCTACTACTTCTTTATCTTGAAGCTCAGCCAATTCAACAATAACATATTTAATTAGACAAGTAATAAGTAGCTATATAGAAATTGAAAATAAAATAAAAGATATAATTTGAAATGTCTCACCTTGGCAGTTGGATGCTCAACGTCTTTTGGAAATCTTGTTGACTATATGACATGGAATTCGGGCAAAATATTAAAATCCAACACTTAACCCTAAGCTGGGTACTTGGGATAACACTATGAACAAACTGAAACACCAAAATAAGTTCCCAATCTGATTTCGGAGCACAATTAAGAGCCAAATCACAACAAATCTGTAACAAAAGTACCAAACTCATACATAAATCTGTAAAGTAACAAACTCATAATAACAACATGTATCGAACCCACAAATTCACAACCGGAATCACACAGACAAATGAAATCACTGATTCACAGACAAATTACAAGAATGAAAATAAAAATCTGAAATCGCAGACAACTTACAAGAAATTACCCAGGTGATTGATTATATTACCTGAAGGGATCGACCGGAGGTGTGAGCGTCGGAGGGGAGCGACGCCGGAGGTGTGAGCGACTGATAGGAGCGATGTCGGAGGTGTGAGCGATTGACAGGAGTGACGCCGGGGTGTTAGCGACTGAGAGGAGCGACACCGGAGATGTGCACGACTGAGGTGAGCGACGGCGTGGAGGTGTGAGCGACTGAGGTGAGTAATAGTTGATGGCGATCGGAGACGACTATGGCGATTATGGAGTAGGCATAAGAGCAACATGAGAGACAAACAGAAAGTGCAGGTGTGACGTGAAAAATAACGGCGGTGATTTTGCTCCGGTGGTGGGTTCTTAAGCAGAGACGATGGTAACTAGGGATTTCTCTACATTTTCTGTCTGAGAGAAAAGGAAGAGAAGATATAAGGTGTATAGAGTAGGCTCAATTTTTCAATAATTTCACGAAAATTAGGCGGTAGATATTTGAGCGCTTTTTTTTTCGTCGAAGTCTAAAGTGGTTAGGTTAGTGAGAAAAGAAGTAAAAGTTGGATTAAACGAAATAAAAAATAAAAATAAAAAAAACAATCGTTGGTATTTCGTTGGAAGTTTCCGACACATTTCCGACGGAGTATAAAAATAATGAGAATTGCATTCGGGAGATCCTCGGGCAAACGGTCAAATGCCATTCATTTTTTTATATTGGTCTCAATTCTCATAACTATTATTAATTTTAAATATTAATTAAGATTTTGTTGGTAATTGGTAGGAAACTTCCAACGCTTTTCCGACGAAATCTTTAGGATATCTTCTTCCGTAGGAAATTTGTAGGAATTATGTTGGAATCTACTTTGGTCGTAAGTTTGTAGGAAATTTGAAGGATATTTCGTACAAAGCACTTTCGTTGGAAATATTTTGTAGCTAAAAGCAAATATTCTAGTAGTGCAATTAACACTTTACCTTTCGTATTATTTCCATCAAATAACATATATATAAGGACTCATAATACAATCAGTCGAAACATAAGGTTTATAAATTAAAGACAGTCCAAACGTAATGTTTATAAATTAAATACACTATTTTCTACACAAATCGTCCTAAGGCCCATTAATTGGTAAATTAATCCAATATTTCTTACGTCCCCATTCTTGTAATGGTTCGTCAATCTTTATGAATTGTTTCTGTGTTTAGATCATAAAGGTTGTTTAAATTTTGTAAATAATCTGCCGATTAAAAACTTTTTCAGTAAAAAGTTTTGGTAAAAAGTGTTTGCCAATGAAATCGTTAAGGTTTTCTGGTTCTTTCTAAAATATTAGTTGTAGTGTTGAAGAAGCTTCGAACATGGAAGAAAATGGACATCCATAATATTGACACTAATCAAAAACCACAAAAGCAGTAATATTTGTGTGTAACCAAAATATATGAGAAATAAGTACAAGTTTTCAAATAAAGTCAAAGTACAACAAAAAATGCTTTTCAGCTTTTATTTAAGAAAACAACTTCAATCATAGTTTCATAGGGATAGCCATGAGTGGTTCAACCTTTTGCAATGTGATCCCGAACTTTTCTCCCATATCAATATCTTGTGGTCTCTTATTTCCCACAACCTTCCAATCAAACTTATGAATCAAAGATCCCAATATTATATGTAACATTCTATTTGCAAGATTCAATCCTGGACACATCCTCCTTCCCGCACCAAATGGAATAAGCTCGAAATCTTGACCTTTATAGTCAATCTTCACGTCCAAAAACCTCTCTGGCATGAACATTTCTGGATCTGACCATATGTTTGGGTCTCGGCCCATAGCCCAAACGTTACACAAAATTTGTGCATTTTTAGGCACAATGAAACCTTGAATAGTAACGTCATGTATGGCTTGGCGAGGGATAAGAAAAGGGGCAGGAGGATGTAGTCTTAGAGTTTCCTTTATTTACAGCTTGTAGGTACGTGAGTTGAGAGATATCAGATTCTTGTATGCTTCCATTGTTGTTGTTTTGCATGACTTTATCGACCTCCAACCTCGCTATTTTCATTTTCTCTGGGTTACGAATCAGCTCCGACATCGCCCATTCCAACGTGCTTGACGTGGTGTCCGTTCCCGCCACAAATAGTGTCTATAAGGCAAAACTTTAGTCAACGCGTGTGCTTTTACAGGAAAAAAATTAATTATTAAAAGGATTTTCTTACTTGAAATAAGTGTCTCATATCATTTTGAGTAAAACTGGATTGTTGGTTTAGTAGTAAGTCTAAAACATCATCGTCTTTGGTTGAAACACCATTTGATCTACTTTGCAACCTGTCATTGATGATCTTATCGAAAATAGTTAGCATTTTCTTGGCATAAGCATTTTCCTGCCATATTAACTCTAGTGGATCCAACGAGTGAAGCATCGGAAAAAGGTCTGGTAGACCTGGCTTTGCGCCAACTTGCATCACTTGCAATACCAAGCCATGGAATTCTCGTGTTGATTTTGGATCATATTGAGCAAGATCCATAGAAAACATGAAGTTGGAAAGGATGTTAAGAACTGTTGTGAATGCACATGCACCTACGTTCAGAGCCTTTTCATCTATACAACATTGGTTAACATGGTTGACAAGATCTTGTACCTAGAATATAAAAATATAAGTTGATCATGTTAAATGGATAAGAAGGTACGTTTGAATTTTGTATGTTAACTGTAATTGTATGGATGGATATAGAAATCCGTTGAGATCTTACTTATACCTTCTCTCGTCGTAGGAGTTCACTAGCATCTAGCTGTTGCACACAAAACAAATATTCTTTAGTCATTCTTCTCAATTTTCTCCATTGATCTCCGGCCTCCATCCAAACTATAGAGTATTTATGATAGTCTCCAAGTTGGATAGCCTTAGGAGCTGATCGATTTAAGAAGGCTACATCATGTGTGTTAAAGAACTCTTTGGTGATATCAGGAGATGAAATGACTATGGTTGTATTGCTTCCGAGCTTAAGTGACATTAAAGGACCATAACGTTTAGATAGTATGGCAAGTGATTGGTGGGGTTTGTCACCGAATTCTAGGAGGTTTCCAATGATAGGAAAACCTTTTGGTCCCGGAGGTAACCGGGAGTTGCGCCGGCCGGAAATAATGAAGGCGTAGATGATCAATGGTAAAAGACAAGATAGTACGAGGAAGAAGGATTGGTACTCCATTGTTTTGTGTGGCTGTCCTTTTGATACGTTCACTTAAACCTTTTCACGAATCGTCTATTTATAAGTAGGATAAATTACAAGAATAGTCCCTATACTTTACCTAAAATCTTAAGTTTGGTTTTTTTTAGAAAAGAGTCATAAACTCAACCCCAAATTTGTTTTCTATTGCAGTATTGGTCCCGGTCTAACGTGAAAAACACTTCTTTACCCCATTAACATGTCCCGAATCGCGAACCCGAATAAAATAAATATGGTTGGGGTTAATAGAGTGTAAAAACAAATATTGGGTTAATAACACATTCAAGAATATTCAAGCAATCTTCAATGCTAGATCTCATTTAGAGGTCCATAATATTGTGACATCATTATTTGTCATGTCACATCACAAATATATAAACCTCTATATTTTATAAACATATTTTCACTATGTATAAGCTTAGAATAAATGGGTCCCACATATTTAATTATTATTAATCTATATTATTATAAATTAACAAATAATTTTCATATTAAATCATAAACTAATGCTTTTTATAATGACTAGTTTTCATTTATATACATAAATAAATATTTCGTAGTAAATAGGCAAACAGCTAAAATAATCTTTAGATAATAGTGGTTCCTTAACTGCCAATTGAGGTTTAATGTTTGACAATTTCCAATATTTAACTTGTTTGTTTTTTAGAATTTTCATTATTTTTTATATTTTTATAGAACATTAGTGATAAAACTGTGTATATAATATTCAATATTGGTCTCATTTTAAGCGTATTGGCTAGATCTTTTAATGGTATAATTTGTTGAAGATTTTTTTCAATATACTTTTTTGATAAATTAAGTTAATAAGATAATTGAACAAGGTAGAAATTGACAATTTGAAACATAAGGTACAATAATGGGGATATACTGAAAATTGCAATTCAATTCAAGGATCAATTTATTTTGGAGAATTTAAAAGCGGTGTCGCTGGCCATGCTGGGTTATTTATGGACCACTTCAAAGAAATTTTGGACGTGATGTATATCAGCATAGTGGATGCTCTTAATTTAGTGGTCAACAGATTGTGATACATCGAGATATATATCAAATCATAGAAAATGAGATTATGATATATCGAGATATTTTCAAAAACAGGGATGAGAGCGGTTCAAATCGGTAGGACTGAAACAATCGGTAGGAATGAGAGCGGTTCAATTTCAAAAACAATCGGTTTGATGTTAATTTCTAGATCGGATCGAACCGGACGGTTTCTTCAAACACCGGGTTGATCCGATGTAATAGAACCGGTAAAAATATAGTTTGAACTAGTTTATTGGACTTGGATTTCACTTCGTTCGTTAAAAAACAACACATAATTCCAAAGCAAATTGAACAACTCGATCGATCAGATTAGCTGAGTGTACACAACTCGAAAGTCAATGTACATCACTGCTAGATGTAGTAAAATTTTTGGTTTATATCAAGGTTGCAGAAAACATTAGACGTTAGCTAGTCGGTGGACTGGGTCTAGGGATTAATCGGCTAAGCGGGGATTAATCGGGGACCATTAATTATTAAGAAAATTATTCAAAAACTTATAAATCTAACTTTAATTGTAAGAATATAAATAAATAAGCATAAAAGTTTAATAATAAGTTTAACAAGCACAACAATTTATCATCCAATTAATAAGAAAAGTTATTCAAATTTTAATACATCTTAAAAAAATAAGTAAATTTGGCTATTTATATATTTGAAAACATGGAAATTTTGAAAATTTTGGAAAAAAACTTTAAAATTTAATTTTTTTAAATATTTTTTATATATTAGTTGAACATTCAAATACTATGAACTTTTAAATTTTGAAAATTTTTGTTTAATATTTAAAAATTTGGGCGATTTGGCCGCCTAGGACCGATTAGCACCGCCTACGACCGATTAGAACCGTCTAGCTCTGACTTTGACCCCCATTGACCAAAACGGATTAAGCCGACCGATTAGCCTTAATCTTATTCGGTTGAAGACCGCCTAACGATTAATCCCCGATTAATCGGCCGCCTAGACCGATTTTTACAACACTGGTTTATATACATATGTATGTAGGAAAATAAAAAAACACATAAACTTATGAAAATCGAGTTGAACCGAAGGTCGAACCAAAAACCGAGAACGGATCACTAAACTGATTCAACTAAAAAACCGGTATTTAAAACTTGTTTTAAATGGTTTCAAATGTTGGACCAAAATTGATGGTTTCAAATGTTGGACCAAAATTGATGTTATAGTGAAGTCGTAGGAATATTTTTCTATTAAGTAGGGTATTAAATGTTTGATAGGTTACAAAATGCTATTTAATATCTTCAATAATGTCATAAATTAGACTTTAAGAGATTATATTCTTTTGTGTATGAATAGTGAATGATCCCCAAAATACAAATACATATAAATATTTTTCTATAGCATTCTTGATCCCCATATTAAAATTATAAATGAAAAACAAAAAGTCATTGTTATGGAAGATCATTACACACTACTTCTAATCTATTGTCCAAATTTCGTATCAAGAAGACAACACAATCCAAATGGATTCATGCTTGTTGTATTTCTTGATGATTCAATTATATGGTTATCGTCCATACTTTATATTTATTACAATGGTATCAAAACTAATTTTATACTTCAGTCTTAAAATTTATATCGTTTGTGTTATATTTATTTGTTTAATTGTTTTCGGGGATGTTGTTGTCATTTTTTAAACATCCGGCACACATAAAATTTCATTATGATTTTTTTACTAGTAGGTGATGTGATGGGAGTTTCTGAAATTTTATGGTGAGGTCAATAAATTTTGTTTTTCATTTTTTTTCTTGGATGTGTTAATAATGTTATGGTGAGGTCAATAAATTTTGTTTTTCATTTTTTCTTGGATGTGTTAATAATGTGCAGGATAGAGGTGACACTAGGCATTCAAAGTACACTGCCATAGCATAAGTCTTGATTATCATGCTATGTGACATGTACATGCACATTATGTGACACATGCGTAGGCTTTACGCGTCGTATAACTGGCGACATTACATAATTAGGTATAAACTCAAGAACGTCGGTATTGTTACTCATAATACTATAATACCATATATATATATCTCCAGAGCTCTCAAATGCAGTTTTTAGGTTTTTGAGTTAAGCTCTTCAAGGAAACTCAAAGGAGAACAAGATTAAAGATATATAAGTGAATCAAGCTTTCCTATTCCTCCTTTAGTGAAGCTTTATCTTTATTCATGGTGAAATTTAAATTAAATGTTAGAACTTGATTCAAGTGCTTGGAATTCATAGTATAACATTGTTATATGTATGGTGAACATGAATTCAAGCTTTAACTGTGGATTCCATGGATAAATTCTTGAATTTGATATAGGCGATCCCGAATCCCAATTGGGTGATTTGTGAGAAAATGGAAATTAATCTTGTGACTTAATGAACTAAGTCACCTAGATGATATATTCGTGAAGTTATTCTAAAAGTGATTGAACTAAAAACAAATGTGTAACGTATAACTATGAAGTTATTATAAAATTTATGAAAGTAAAAGATAATGAAAAGGGAAGAACATGTCAGCTTGCAGTGAAAGGGCAGAACATCCCAGCTTGCAGTGAAAGGGCAGAACATCCAAAATTCTAATGAAAAGGGAGAACATCTGAAATTGTAATGAAATGGAGAACATCCCAATTTTTTAAAAAAATGAATAAGGAAATAGATCAGAACTTGAAGTTTGTATTATCTAAGAATATACGTTGAATACTTATGAAATTATTGAAAAATTTATGAAAACAAAAGTTTTAAGAATGATATAAAAATATGGCGAAGGGTTATAAAAGTAAACATGTAACATCACAAAATTTTCGAGTAAAAATTTCATTTTAAATAAGTCAAAACCATTTATTCATTATCCTAAAAGACGATTATAATGAAAGTATTCTCAAAACATCAGAGTAAAATCATAAACAATCAATGTGGAATAAATCTCCAGGGGATGCAGTGTGATCAAGCCGACCCTTCCTTTTGTAACAAGAAGTACCTAAAAATATTTTAAACATAAACCGTAAGCACGAAGCTTAGTGAGTTCCCCAAAGTACCAGATACCACACATACAATGGGCCTCGTGTGACGTCCATCATGCCTCGCCCATCATACATACAATAGGCTTTGCCCGACATTCATCGACCCTCGTCCGACATTGGGCCCCACACAATACAGATCTGTCAGTAACATGCGATAGGACCTGCCTAACACACTCGTTAGCTCCCGCTTGGCGTTGGGCCCCGACCGGTATATAGGAAAACATATACATACATGCAAGAGTCACACAGTCAGCTAGCATTCTAATAACAATAATCAATGGGCCGGCATTGGTGCCTTCGACCCGCCAAAGCACTGTGAGAAGACTCACCGGAACTACTCAACATAAGCCCAACAGCTATCTTAGCATCGGGACAACCAACCCAAACTTCCTAAAACCAAACCGAGACCAATCCTTAGTCAAATACTCAATTCTACCCAAGTTTGACCAAACGTTAAACTGATCGAAAAAGTCAATGGATCAAAAGTCAAAAAGTCAAAGGAGGTCAACACAGTCTGAGTACGCCCAGCGTAGTCAGTCACTACGCTCAACATAGTACATCCCTTCCTGATTACGGGGCTCGAGCCTGGTACACTCAACATACTACCAAGTACGCCCAACGTACTCGACCAGTTCCATTTTCCTTCATTAAGTGCTTTTTCCATTAAAATCGCACTTCCAGAGCTCAATTCTAGTCACTAATAATATTCTAAGTCATAAAGTTTTCAATTTTATGACTTTCCATGGATAAAAGGAGTCTACACACCAAACCCTAACTTAATACACAAACCAATACATCATAACTCTTGCATGGAGGGAAGAAATTGACCAAGATCACATTTTTATGGTTCCTAATAGCACCATAATGGATAAAGTTTCCAACTTTATCCATTAGGATGGTCCAAATAGCCATGATCTAGTCTTTATCTCT